TACAACGAAGATGCTGACAATAGTCAACATGTAATTAACTCATAACAGATTTTCAGCATTTATCTTGACACTTTCAACTTAAAAGAACTATAGGTTTACTGCAATCAATGCAACTGCAAAACAATCCACAGCCCAACATTTGTCTTGTGTTGGTTGACTATTTCCATAAGGTGTCCAACTTCTTTCCCAGTCATTATATCCATCTAGTGTAGTTCTATATACATCGTTAGAAATTAATTGAAATAAGTTTTCATGTACTGCTTTACCCAACTTGAGATGTTTCTTTATCATTTTTACTTAAAGGTGATAGTTTAGTTTCTTTCATATCTTTAGCCAATGTTCTTAATATTCTGCATCTTTTCTTTCAAGAATTCCCCGGAGAAAGCCATATTGTATAAAATGGCATACATTAAACATATTAAACAATTTTTAATAAAAATATAAACTGAAATTTATATGGTATGTTTCAGCCAGTCCTGAAAATTTTGCTGGTATTGGCTTACAACTTTGTGAAGGATTCTTTATTGTAATCTGCATTTGTGGAAGAATTAAATTTTAATGTGCAGTATCTGACAGAATGCATGGTCACCAGCAAAAGGAACAGCGTAACGTGGAAATTACGAATTGGTGATTACAAAATCAAACTAGTAGAACAATCTTAATCTGGGTAGTGTTTTAACAGGACAATAAATGTGATGCTTAAATCTGAAGGTGGCTTTGGGATAGCCAAAGATACTATTCAAAAGTACTAAGAAACAGGAAAATAGTAGTGAATTGTTATGTAATATTGTTCCTATATAGCAGTGAATCCGGGATGATCTCCTTACAAATGAAGAAGACTTGAAGCAACTGACATTTTCTACAAAAGGATGCTGTGGATACCATCGACTGAACAGGTGAGCAAATGGTGAAGTTCTAGAAAAAAATGGAGGTATAAAAAGGACACGTATACTTAGAATCTGGAAAGAGTTGACATTTCTAGAACACATGAGGAAAGAAGACTTGGAAAATTTCACAGGACAGCTTGAAGGCAAGATGGAGAAAAAAAAGATACAACCTACCTAGTAAATGGATGGTGGAGCAAAGTTTAGGTGAGATAGCAAAAAAGACAATTTATTAAGAGCTACAAAGGACATGAAATTGGAGAATTGTGATTGCCACTGTGCTGAATGGACACAGTGCAGTAGAAGTAAAGATTTGACAAAAACTGTCAACAAGAAATGATCATAGAATTTAATGATGACAATGAAGGATGCACTTGTTTCATTTCAGTTTTCATTGTCTTGTGTATTCATCACCTTCATTAGGCTTGTCTGATCAGTTATTGGCAAATGATACATTTACACTTTTTAAAAGACAAGTGTTCTGAAATATGCAAAGATAATGAAACAATTTGAAATTTATTGGATTACTGTTTTTTTTTTTTTTTTACCAGATCTTGTTTTCAAATTGGTATGAATTCTGCTGTTGATACTTGAATTGAATTATAAATAATTTAAGAATTCTGCATGTTCTATATGTACAGCAATTATGTTTTTTTTTTTTTTTCTTTTTTTTTTACATAGGATCTGTATAGTATCTGTAGCCCTTCTAAGCTGGTATCAGACTAAGTTGAGTATGTTGTGGGGATGAGCGATAAGGGTTGAGAAAGCAGTAGGGGAAAATGAAAATATATATTGTGTGAATATAGAAATCGACACTGTATGGTGGTCAATGGTTCTGATCTTCTGGCCACCCTCACAGTCAATTTGTTTTTATTTTTTTAATGTTTATCCAATACAAGGACCAAGAGCCATTTAATATAGAGGGTTAATGTGTGGAGTCACATTAGTATAGGAAAGGGCAAGCATGAGGAGTAAAGAGCTGAAGTAAACTTTAGAAGTAACCAAAAATCCAATCCTAAACAGGAAACAAAGGGTGAACTTGGATGATAGGTGAACCTATGTACTCCTATTGGTGAAGGAGAGAAATAAAAAATTAATTAAATGGTGGAGAAACTTTGAGTTCAAGCACATATGTTAGGTGTAAAGATCTGAAGTAGACTTTAGAAGGAACTGGAGATCCAATCCTAAATAGGAAACAAGTACTTCAAATGTTATTTTTAGTGGATACCCATATTTAAATAGCTGTTCTGTTTTTGAACTGTTTTTATTTTGTCTACTGATCTGTACACTCATGAACAATTAAAGAAAATTTGCACTTTGGCAGGATTCAAACCTGCATCCTCCTTTGTAAGAAAACCACTGCCTGATCCATGTTGATTACTTGGCTATGGTTAGCTTCAGTCAAGTATTTTTTTTTTTTTTTTTTAAATTATATATAATCATCATCAATTCATCCTAAACTGGAAACGGATAAACCTCTACTTCTGTTCAAGTGACCAGGAAGGAGTGTGGACTGAACAATAGGTGAACCTATCTACTCCTATCTGTTTTAATGCATGTTTTCTTAAGAACCATATCTGCTATGTTTCATATCTGGAATGTAAACAAACCAGTTATTAAAGAATTAATATATTAATATTAAGCACCATTTTATTGAATGCTCTTCCCTAATAAAGTAAATTTTAAATTATGAGAGAAGGGAAAAGGAAATGCAGAAGCAGGTTTGCCAGAAAAGATTGAAAAACTGGTTGGGATAAAAATTGTGATGTTAAAATGGCAAGATGAACAAAGACTAAAGAGGATGATGCATTTGAAAATATTTCTTATTTTTTGTTTATCAAACCGTTTATTGGAAAGGATAAGGCAAGGAATGAGAGGATACAGACTTGTAATTGATGGTAGATATTGATTAAATGCCGGTTAGATGATTGCAATACTTTAACAATATTTACATGTTTGAATGTATTTGGTTTTGTAGCTTCTGATATTTTTGTCAGTGTTGAATCCACTCTAAAATAGTTATTTCTATATAAGTTGACCATTCTCTTTGCTGTAACCATATCCATTTTATTTTTTTTTTATTTATTCTTTTTTTTCCCCTCCTCAATTGAAAAAGGCTTTCCCAGTTACCTGCAGCCTTTTTTACTTTGAATGTAATGATTTGAGTCCTGCAAAAAATACAGAAAGCAAGCAACAAAAATAAGATGAAAGGCAAACTATGGGATGGTCCAAAAGTCTTGTCAGCCATCTGAAATAGAAATTATATTATGGGGTGACAAGACTTTCGGACCATCCTATAGTAAATGTATAATTTTTAATGATATACACTTGACTACGTAAAAATATTTTGGTGCACTTTGTACATATTCAAAAATTATTGTAGCTGACAGTTATATATGAACTTTGACAAATTTCAATTTGTATTTTTCACATTTATAAATATTATCTTGTTCTTTACCACTGCACTTAATGTTATCTCATGGCACACCAATGTGTTACAATGTGTTCCTTTGAAAATGCTGCTATAGTATTAGTAATATGTGCCTGATGTAAAGCAAGTGAATCTTAGAAAGTATTGTTTTTGTACCAGACTTCATTATTTTTAGTAATAAAGAAATGTAAAGACCTTCAACATTTTGTGATAAAATAGTGTAAGGCTTGAATTTTATTAGATAAAACATTAATTATAATTGATTAGTATTTCTTTTTTTTTGTCTGGATTTTTGAGATGAGTTCTTATTTGCATGAAGATTATTGTCCTAATCTTTGTTAGCCATTGTACCCTCAGGTCATCATCAGGTGCTTGTGGAAAATAGGAGTGTTGGCGAGTGCAGTCAAGTGACAAGCAGTAGCACTTCAGCAGGTTAGGTTGAAGGTTCCAAGTTCTCTATTTGGGGACAACAGGCTAGCAGATTAGTGTTGATTTGTGGATTTGGTGACAAACTGAGAGTTTAATCTCTGGGCTAGGCACTTGCACTCTGGCAAGCCTGAATTGTAAGAATTTCTTTTTGGAAATAATAATTTACTAATACAAGTCCTACTAATTAACTCCTAGCTGCAGGTGTTGGGTTGGAAAGTGGTTTCATGCCCTTTAAGTATTTACATGTAAGTGAATACAATGACCCTGACTGGTATTTAAGCTCTGGTCTCTGATTTCCAATTCAGTCATTATCCATTACAGCACTTGGTATTTCTAAGTGGTCATCCATCTAGGTACTGACCAGGCTTGATGTTGCATAACTTCAGTGATCATATGGCTGTAAGTCTATACACAGATGAAAACAATAGTAGAATAGTGTAAACATTTTTCATCCCATTTCTATTGCTTTATTTTATTTACCCTAGTAGTATTATCTTGAATTCTGTTATTAGATCAATCCTTGTCAATTATTATCTTTTGACTATATCTGGTCTTCAATTGCTTTCCATTATGACTGGTAAGTCATTCTGCAGCTATTAGTAACTTATGCACATCAAAAATAGTATTGTCACTTTATCTTGAACAGACAATATTTTTTTTTTTTTTTTTTTTTTAGTATTGAGATGAAAAAAAATCACTGAAATTGTGCTGTCTATATTATATTGCTTTAAAGATGGTTGTCTTTTGTTTCACTTTAGGTCTGATGAAGATGATGATATGGAAAATGAGTTAAATCCTGAAAATGATGAAAACAATGAAAGTGGGGAAAGGCGTGAAAATAATGTTGGGCCTTGGAACAAAACTGGGCGGTCAACAACACCTCCACCCCCAGTGTTAAAAGGTAACTTTTTTTTTTTTTTTTTTTCTTTCTTCTCCACCTGTTATAATGTACGAAACTGATTACCAAGTCTACCTGTTAAGATCATGTCCTGGGTATGGCAGTAAACTGTCTGGCAACAAGGCCTCTGTTTGGGAGACTGGAGGTTTTGAGGAGCTTCTTACTTGCTGCTGTTCTCAGGCCCACCCTAACCTGGAGTGCCATCACCTGTTAGTCCCAGTTACGGCTACCCCCCTGCAAAAAAACAAAGCACTATTAAAGTGTAAAAATACCAGGAATACATAGAAAGATGAATCTGGGTATATTTTAAAATTAGATTCTTGCAGCAGACTATCACGATAGATGGATGTGTAGCTGTTATGTGCACAGAAAGTGGACTCAATATCCCGAGTTCAAATTCTTGTTAAGCCTGCTTGCTATGGCTTTGAATAAACAGGACAGATTGGTGCTCTTTGCCAATGCAACCAGTTTAGAAGGAAAAGAAACACAAAACTACTCTATCCTTCCCTAAAACAATTAACAATGCACTGTTTAGTTTTCTAGGGAAGGATATCTATGGAGGGTTTTATTTCTTATATCTATAGTAACATGGTATTAAAAAAAAAAAAAAAATGTTATGGGGAAGATTTAAAAAAAGGGGGGATAAAATTGTGTACATCTTCATGACAGCTGTGTGTGTGTATATATATATATATATATATATATATATATATATATATATATATATATATATAAAAACCTAGGGAGCCAGAAAAACTTACCAAGGTTTGTCTGGCTCTCTAGGTTTAGCTAGGTCTGCTCTACTCACTGGATTGAGCACTTTTAGTTATTTTGCGTACTTGTATCTGGGACTTTTTTCTTTGGACTTGCATGGTTGACGATTATTATCGGCTAACGTACATGTTTTTGGTTCTTTCTTTTTTTATACATTTTTTTTCCCCTTTGGTATTGGTTTGATTATTTGCAACTCAAGACACTGAAGGTTTTCCGAACAAGTATAGTTTCTTATAAAATTTCTATTAATATATATATATATATATTACAAAGTATAGTAACCTTTAATGTATTAGCATATATTTGTTTTAAAGCAGGTCTGTTGAGGTATCAATGAATCAAAAAAACTTTCTATCCTAACATAGATGTTTCAATAAATTTGTGAAGGTCTTACACATTGGTGTGTGAAGCTTTGGGTCACCTTGGTAGATTAATTACTTAACACTTAATTTTACCTCTCCCCACCCAAAAAAAAGCAAATACTTTGTTTTTCTTGGTGCATCTTATGATCTTTGGGAGTCAGAAAATAAGTTATTGCACTTTCGTTAAGTGTATAGAAGGGTGATATTAATGTTGAAAAAAAAGGCCATACAAAAATACTGCAAAAATTTCACATTTCAGCTCTTATTAAATTAAAAAGGAATTTATTTTGCATAAAGTGATCTTTATTACAGAAAGTACAAAATATCAAAGTTTGAAGTTAGTAATTAGTGTTGCTTTAATAATTGCTTCAATTCAATATAGGATTGTATGAAACATAGTCTACATATTCTCATTGGAAATTTTCCATTCTTTTTGGTAGTAATCCCAAAGCTCTTGGAGATTGTTTTTATTTGAGTATTTGTTTCTTCAGTTCCCAGCACAATGGTTCAATTATATTGAGATCAGGGTTTTGTACTGGCCAGTCTTCCAAAAGTTGACTATCTTCATCCACAAGATTCCTTTTTGTTAATAAGGAACAATTCCTACTTAGAAATTTGCATATTATCCTGACTTTATCAGCTTGGATCTTTCATTGGCCCAATAGTTTTGCATGTGGTATATCTTCTGTTACACATCACCTATGAAAATGCAACAGCTTATTTTCCAATCTTTAAGGTCCACAGGCATTACCGATAAATGTATATTGCTAAACAATATTAACATAATAAAGGTGCATAATACTTTTATGTAGTAGGCCCAAAACATTTCCACTCCATTGTACTAATTAGCTGGATTTTGAGCTGAAATCTCCACTGTATAATGTTTGTGATTAATATTCATCAATGGATTAAGTTTGTCGACAAAGTATTTTTAGGGAAAGAGTGTAGTGGTTTTCTGTTACTTTCTGCTCGTTTTTGGAATTCAGTTTTTCTCTTCTCTTGCAGAGATATGCTGTATAATAACACTGCTCATACACTTTAACAAATCTGTCACAATTTCAACTGAATAAATGCCAGTCTGATCAGGAGAAAAAAAAGATTTCTTAAGAAGAAAATGCACTGAGGGTGTGCTGATCTGACAGTTTCTGGCAATAAACCTAAAACCAGGCTTATACATAATATTACCGATCATTGCAAAAGCAATAGTGGCACAATGCAGTCTGCGAACAGGTGGAGGATGTAACAGGAATTTGCCTGGGGTGGGCTAATTTCAAGTCCAGCAGGGGTTGGGAACTTTAATACAAAAAAAAATCCAAAAAAACTCAGGCAGTGTTCTTTCGTTCCAACTGTAATATATATATATATATATATATATATATATATATATATATATATATAGGGGAAAGGAATTAAAAAAAAAAAAAAAAAAACTAGGAACATGTAATTTTGGCGAAAATAATACACCAGAATCCAAGCTCAGTCCAAAAAAAAAAAAAAAAACCTCCGACACAAAATAAAATAACTAAGCAAAAAGTGCTAGGTAGGTTTGCCTGGCTCTTTAGTTTCATATTTATATATATATATATATATATATATATATATATATATATATATATATATATATATATATATATATTTATATTTGTTTGAATAAAAGACAGACCACGTTAAGATTCCATGTAATAAGCTATTTCACCATGGTTATGGTGAAATAGCTTATTACATGGAATCTTAACGTGGTCTGTCTTTTTATTCAAACATATCTGCTCTGAATTTTACATTGAGCTCTCTGGATATCATCCTCCTCAGGTCTACCCATACAGATTACCTAAATTTGCATAAACTATATATATATATATATATATATATATATATATATATATATATATATAAATGAATGAATGATACGTGACCAGCAAGAATCAAACCAAAGTTCTCTTTTTTTTTTTTTTGTTGGTTTTCTGTCAATCTCTAATGAAGCTTTAAGAGTGAAACATTAGATTGATGTTTCCTATTTGTTTTTTTTTTATCTTATCCTCTGTCAGATTTGATCTTATATATATATATATATATATATATATATATATATATATATATATAATCTATTTATTCAATTGCATGTATATTAGTTTGTAACTCCGGGTTTCACGCTTTTGCAATCATCAGACAAAAACTGGTTTTTTTTTTTTTTTTTTCAGAAGTGGATCTATTTATGTTTATTGGTGTGGGGTTGGGGAGCTCCTAAACGTCACCCTCGACCTGGACAAAGAAACTTACGAGCCATACAAAAAGGATAATGACACTCCCACATACATACACACATCCTCCAACCATCTACCCTCAATTATCAAGCGTATACTTAAATCCATCAACCATAAACTATCAGACAACTCATCCAAAATAACTATTTTCAACAACAAAAAACACCATATAACAATGTTCTAAAGAAAAGCAGATACATGTAACAGGTAGAGTACACATCACCACAGCCAAAACAGAAAAAGAAATATATAATTTGGTTTAATCCAACATACAACAAACACCGACAGAACATTCCTAAATCTAATAGAAAAACACTTCCCCTTAGCAAAAATATTTAACAAAAGCGTAAAAGTTAGTTACAGCTGCACTAAGAACATAACACAAATAAAAAGCCACAACAAAAAATAACCTGCAATAGTGCAAAGATCCCCTCCCAGATGCAACTGCAGACACAAAACCACATGCTCACTACAAAGAAACTGCCTACAAATGAACATAGTATACAAAGCTAATAACACTACAATGCACTACATTGATGCCACAGAAAGAACATTCAAGCAAAGAAAATACACCTATAATCTCTCATTCTGCAACTGAAAATACTCCAATAGCACCACACTATCCACATAAATATGGCAACTAAAAGACAAATACATCACACCAAAAATAAGCTGGAAAATCATGAAAGCCCCCACCTGCCTACAATAGCATATCAAAGATGTCTACTCTGTCTGCAAAAAAAAAGTGGCGATAATCTCCCACACTCAACAAGAAGCTTTACTGACACAAAAATAATTATCTACTATCACACTTCATACCAAACTGATAATACCTACAACAAAACTGAACATAAACGGGGAAAGAACCTACTAAAAATAATGGTAGAACACTAAAACATAACACCAAAATGACCAAAACATAGCCACCAACAGGAATCGATAACTACCAGCACTGTTACCAACACTACCACCACCCCCACAACGATTAGTCCAGCCACCACAAGACATAAAACCATTAACATTTCAAAATTATTTTATGACTGCTATTACTTTCACTTAGTGTAGTGTTACACTTTAAGAACAATCACTTTATTACTACCTCCACCACCATTAGTACTGTTCTTTATTAGTCGTTATTATAATCATTATGGTTACCGCAACTATTATAATTACCATTGTCATTATATATATATATATATATATATATATATATATATATGCTTTTATTGTCATTATGATTGTGTCCATCATTTAAGGCTAACTTTACTACTCATCACAACCAATATCACATCAGTTATTATTAATATATCAATAATAATAATATCACAGTTATTATAACCATTAACATAATCACAATTATCAATAAAACACCAGTAGTTATCGTTGCTAAAAATACAAACATCATTATTTCTACAGACAGAACCCAACTTAACCGACATGGTGGTAGTGGACCTGAATCAAGTAGTATGGGTACGCGTCCACATATTTTTGAGCAAGTCTGATGGTGCAGGCGGCTGATCTGAAAAAAACGTCAAGACCATCCCACCTGTTCCTTGTTAAGAGAACGTTGCTGCAGTTTTGACATTGAACTAGAATGACAATTGTGTGTGTGTGTTGTGTGTATATATATATATATATATATATATATATATATATATATATATATATATATATATATATATATATATATATATATATATATATACATACAATGTGCTCAAACACATGGATGTGTATCTGTGCCTAACCTCAGATTATTTATATGGGTGTATTTGTACAAACTAAAACTTGTACATCTCTGTGTGTGTGTGTGTGTGTGTGTGTGTATGTCTGTGTATGAGAATGTCATCCCAAACAGACATAGAAGAAAATTCCCCCCTCCACCAAACACAAATAGTCATAAATAGATGACTTTTGAAAAAAAAAAAACAAAACATTTGTCTGATGTTCGCAAAAGCATGAAATCCAGGGTTACAAACTACTACCCATGCAACTGAATATGTTAGCTCTATCACATATATTAAGCACTTTCTACTAAGTAATGCACGCACACACACATACATATATATATATATATATATATATATATGTGTGTGTGTATGTATATATGTATGTATGTGAAAATATATAGGAAAGAACTGGTTAGGTAAATAATCCAAATAAATAATTATATAAAAATGTGTGTGTGTGAAACAAGTCATTATATAACTTTGTAATTTTTGCACAAGTAGATGTTGTGTTTTATTATGCATACTGTGTAGATATTGAAGTTGATTTTAGTCTTAAATAATATTTTTCTTCAGAAGAAGAACTACCATCTCCAACAACTGAAGAAACTCCTAAAACTGTTGGCCGATATATCCCTCCTGGGCAGCGCGGACATAGTACAAGCCTGACTCCAACAGAAGCCAGGATGGCTAGAATACGAAATTCCAAGAAAGAAGCTCCAAACATTCACTGTGAAGTGGACTTTCCAAGTCTTGGTGGAGCTGTAAATGACATGTAAGTTTTTTCCTTGTTTTAGTTGTAATCTGAGATTGAATAAGGACTCTTACTTGTAAGCAGTGTCGTCGTTCGATTATGCTGGCTGATGGAAAGAATAAAAACTGTTTCTTTAAACTGTCTTCTCTCTTGGGGAATGACTGATCACCAGAAATTTAAAATCTCATGTTAATACTTCTTTCTGTCTAATTTCAGTGAAGGCAAAGACTTTGAGCGTGTTCGCAGTGGCAACCGTAATCTTGAAGATCCCTCTAATCACAGTTTACAATTAAAGCTCAACAATAAGTATAAAGCTCTCCAGGATTAGGTTAAACATTTACGCAGTAACACATACACCCGCAGACATACCTACCCACACATGCACACATTACAGAGAACTAAAGGAAGCTGTGCAAAGGCAGGGACTTAACAGCTTAGTTGATGACTTTACACAGACATCTCTGAATGATGTGAGGATTCTTTCTCTCAAATATACCCTCCTTTTTTTTTTTTTTTTTTTTCTCTCTCTCTCCTCTTTCTTTTTATATAGGAGGGTTTGGACAATGGATATTATTTTTTATTAGATATCAATTGTCACTTTACTTTTTTTTTTTTTTTTTTTTTTTCTTCAATTCAGTGGAGTTACTGCTCCTGCTCCTCTCATTAAAGATTGTTCTTTTCTTGGGTAGTTGCAATTTAGCTGGTGGTGCTTCTCTCTCTGGTTGGATCAGCAAGTCTGTAGCCTGAGGGTTATTAGCTGAACTTTGATCAAAAACTTTCATTGTATGTTACATCTGGTCTGTGATTAATGGAGAAGCATTGCATTAAACTTATTGATAGAAGAGAAGAAAATGAAAATGTTTGGGTAATCCAAATGCTTCTCATTTGGAGGCTACAGACTTATTGATGTATCTACATCATATCTTGTGACTTGTTTTGTCCTTTAGGACTTCATCGTACTAAATTTGTTAGGTTGGTGCAACTGCATGTGCATTAAATGGGTGCTGGAAATTTCAAATTTAGTAAATCATTTTTTTTTTTTTTTTAATCTTGCTGATTTCATTCAGATTCTTTCTTTTCCCAACACTATTGAATTGGCTAGATTAAAAAATTAAAAAAAAAATTTTTTAAATTCCCAGCATCCCTGGTTCGTGCATGTGTGGTTGTACCAAATTTAGTCCAATGAAGTCTTGAAGGGTGAAGAATGTCACAAAAAAACTTTTCCAGTGTGTGTGTGTAATATATATATATATATATATAAAAAATGGTGTGCGTTTCTTTGCTCCTGTCGCTGCAACTTGACATGAAAAAAAAATCTCCATTTACAGGAGCATTTTTATTTTTACCTTTTAAAAACAGAAGCCCAAGAAATGAAATAATTTAAAAAAAAAAAAAAAAAAAAGTAACGGGTGGGGGGTAGCATTGCATCAGTTTAAGAACATATTGCCCCATTATAATGAGAAGTCTTTGTTTACAGCATTTGACAACTATGAATTAACTTTTGAATGAGTGGAGAAAAATAATCATAATTTTGAAGAAGTGAAACAGTTTTACAACTTTGACAGGAAAAAAAAAAATAAATAAATAAAACAAACTTTAATATCCCCCCACCCACCTTTTTTTCCCCCTCTCCAGTTAGAAAGCATTTCACTTTCTCGGTCCCTGATTCTTAAGCATGGTTTAATTTATGTCATATGAGATCAATGTGTGGGGGGGGAAAAGAAAAATTTGTTGATAAGCATGTTTATCACTGCTTCCACTTGCTTCCACGCATGGTAGACGAGATTGAAAGAACTATCACCTTCAGGGACATTGTATAAAAAGGAAAAAAAAAAAAAATTGACAAGTTAAATTTTCTTGTTCATTGTCAATAAAATATCTATGAAAATGTTCAATTGTTATTTTCAATAGTCATTTTTAATGCTTTCTTCCAGAACTTGATCAAGTAATATTTTTTTTTTACTTTTATTTATTTTTTTATTTTATTTTGCATTTGAAAATTTACACACAAAACAATTCTGCTCACTCTTTCTCTCAATTCCTATTGGGTTCATTATATTCACTTCTGCGTAAATACCCTTGGGAAAGGTATGAATCCACCTCTTCCCCCTCCAGCTATGGGTTAATTAGTGAGACTTGTATCATTAAACCATTATCTCCAAAAATGTTCTTACTATGTAAAATAATTTCTGGCTTTAAATAACTTGCAAAGTGTTGGTAAGCCATAAAAAAAAGAAATCCATTCATCACATTGCATATAAACTAGATTTTTTTTCCTCAAAAACATTTGGCAGCTGAAACACTAATTGAGTGTAAATATTGATGTTCTCTTTGTAGACTCTTTTCTGACACTCTCTTTCACTTGTTGCATGTAGGTATTGAGATCCACACAGGTACAGCAACCTTTTCTGTAAATAGAGCATCAAAAAGATCTTAATGATAGCAGAGCATGGATTCTTTGTGTGATGTCTTTGATAGCATTCCATTACTTTCTGGGCCAACCTTGCTTGTGTGGCATGAACAGCATTCATGCAGACCTATCACTATCTGGACTGATCACCAACCACCTTTATAATTGACCAGGTAAGATGATTAAGGTGGTACTTCCTTGAGTCAGTCATCACTTTGGCTTGGCAAAGTGATCAGGGATCAAGGATAGATGCCCTGTTACTTGTGCATTTGCAGATGTTCATTTTTTTTTTTTTTTTCTTAATGTAATAAACATTTGGTTATATTTTTATATTATGGGGATGCATTCCTAGTTCTGTCAAGGGAGATAATCTTAAATAGTTAATGCATCTGAAAGTATTTGAAGGTAATAAAAGTAGCATTTGAGAATGAGCATTTTATTCTTTTTCCTCTTAAACTTGTTAGATGTCAAACATTAGCCAATGAACATCTTTCAATTTTTAAATTTTGCCTAAAATGATAACTCATTCTATTTGAGCAGGTAAGTTTCCGTAATTTAAGAAATATTGACTATAAACATAAACTTTTAAACCGATTAGTAGCATTCATTCATGGTCTACTTGAATAATGGAATCTTTACATCCCACCTCCCAAAAAAACCTTTCAGTGTGGGGTTTTTCAATTGATTAACCAGATTTTATCGGTTTAAACGTTACTTTTAGTGGATACCCATATCTGAGCTCTGTACTATTTTTTAAATAGTAATCTTTTTCTTTTAATAAGATATCTCTAATAATCAGCCTGGTAGATAAAAATAAATATACTGTTTAAAGAAAATAAAATAATGGAGCAAGTGTGTATTCAAATATGGGTATTTCCCAAAAAAAAAAACACACACACACACACTGCTCAAGTGGTTTTGTAATTTAATTAGTAAAATGTATTGCAAAATCATTATCTCCCCACCAAAAATATTCTTACAATCTAAAAAATATTTTCTCGCTTTAAATAACCTTCAAAAAGTTAAGGCGTTGAAATAGAAAATGAATCCATAAATAATGATGGATAGTGAAAGGAGATTTTGTGGCTTGGAACAATGTAGGCAGGGAATAATAATAATAATGGAGAATATATTGACTTTGTATTGTGATAGAATGGCATAAAACTGCAAGGAATCATAAGATGCATGGAGGGGGGGCAGCTGTTTTTGCTTGGCTTAATCAAGGTGGTTACTCTGTCTGATATATTAAAAAAGAGATCTGTGAAAGATTGTCTTCCAAAGCTCAAATCTTGTCACTGAGGCTGTATTTATTTCTAATTTTAATGCTGTTCTTGTAGTTGAAAAGCAACAGCTAATGAGGATTAAAACTACTCTCAGATTTTATAGCACAATTCAATCTTTATACGATAAATTTGGTATTAAAGAAGGCAATCCTTATGGCAAGCATGAGACTGGGGGCACACATGGAAACCTAAATTACTGCTAAATAGTTAATGAACATTATTAGCAAGAAACTTGTTAGTAATGTCCAGTAATTAGTTAATTAGCAAGTAGATATATTATTAGGAAGCATCTTAAATTCTTGACTTATTTCCATAAATGCAAATGTACAAAGAAAGAACAAAAATACCATAAAATAACTAAATGTACAAAAATTACTTTATTCACCATAAATTCACCATAGATATTTTTAGATATTGCAAAAATAAATTAATTTGGCTATGCTAATTGTATTATACAATTATACATTCTATAATCAATTAGAAAGCATTTTACAAAATCATGTGTCAACAAAGTCTGAAAATAATTTACAAAAAATATGAATTTCAGAAAAGATTCAGAATTGTTTCTCTGAAATTCACATTTTGTAATTTTTGTTATATGTACATTTTTTTTTTTTCACAGAAGATAAAAATAGTTATTTTGCTATGATACAATAATAGATATTACCAGTATACATAGTTTTAATTAAAATCAATTAACAAGAATACAAAATTAACAGGATAATTTGGGTAGTTAACCAATTAAAAAGGATTGTCTTGGTATTAACCAATCAGTATTGGTAAAATTTTCAGGATAGATTTATTTGTGTGTGTAATATATCATGGTACTTGCCTTAAATACCTGTTCTAATTTAAAATATTAACTTTAATGCCAGGTTTTATACAAAAAAGTATGACACCAGCGGATTTTAAAAAAAGATACAGGCGACTTAAAAATTTAACACTATTCCATACACAAGTACAAATTTGTAAATGTAGGTTACTTGACCTATAAGCTTCAACATTAGGCTCATTGGCTGTAACTTTTATTTTTCAATTTTTAAAACCACTTGAAGCAGTTCTCATTGGTTTTCTTTGTTGGCCATTTCTTAATAAACAAATAGTTTTCTATAAGATATCAGGAGAGCCTGTGGGCCTTTTCATTTATTTGTTGTCTGAAACTATTTTTAAGCAAGGTGAGTAATCCTTACCTTTGTGGAATATGAAGGAGTCTTGCAAGAATATACTCTTTAGTTTAAAGCTTTCTGATTGTAGCTTCTTCCCCATAGCTATGGGTTAAAGAGTAGGACATGTATCTGGAAAAATCCTTATTCTCAGAAAATAGTTAATGCAATATTCACATGCAAAACTTTTATTCTTATAGTAAAAAAAATGTTACAGCTTTAAATAACCCCATGTTGGAAAACTTAAAAAAAAAAAAAAAAAAAAAAATCCCAAATGTGGTTGTAACGGGGACATTTTTCTATTGTCAAAAAAGTTATTGTCCAAGAACTTAGAATTAATACGATTGTCAAAATTGAAGGTAATTATAATTTTGTCTGAGAAAACATTAATTCACTTAACTCTGTGGTGAGTAAATAGTTTCGTGAAGGATCCAGCCTCTCATTTAACCATCAGGTTCATCCAATGTAGCTC